TAGATAGATAGATACATAGATAGATAGATAAATGTGTATGTGTGTGTAAATATGTGTTTGTGCATTTTTCCCCCTAAAATCTTAAAAGTTCATCAAAAAAATCCAAAAGTTATGTCAACTATCCACATATACGTGTATGTGTACATATACATACACATGCTCACTGGTGTCATCTCAAACCTGATCCAGGAGCGCCTGCTGCTCTCTGTGTTGCCAAGGCACGTTGCCATGGAGATGAAGGCAGACATCAACGCTAAGAAAGAGGATATGATGTTCCACAAGATCTACATCCAGAAGCACGACAACGTCAGGTACACAAATGCCAAGACCAGCACATGGTGTCATACAGATACGGTTGCCAATGTTGTCCTCACACCTCCAGTATGAGAACCGGCAGTGTTATAACACTCAGTCCCCACGTGATTGAAGCAGGCGACAAGTCTGGATAAAACACAGACACATTAAACACTGATACCGCTTAAAAGGTTATCTTTCCCAAGGCTGAAGCGATGTTGAATGCTTAAACGCAGATTAGCGTACTCGCTAGTCCTTGAGACGTGACTTTTCTGTCTTTTTTTTTCTTCTCTGAGGGTCAAGTTGGGTTATGGCTGCTTGTTTTGATGTACCAGAAGTTACACAATCAATTAACAGAAAGCTGCGTGAAATGACAGCAAGCCACTTTAGTAATGCAGTTACAAGTTTGGAGCGTGTGGAATACAACATGTTGTCCTGCATAATCCCAGCCAGCTCGAAGCATCTGTGCTAGGAAAACTTGGATGTGTAAAAATGCTAAATGTCACAGACTGTGTAGGGATCCTGCTTTCCAAATGTTGGCAGCAGTGCCATCTGTTGTCGCACGATAATGCATCTGTATCGTGTGTCCATTCTGTCATGTCTTGAATTTTTAGTTGATGACCATCTATCCTCCTCATGGCTAGGAGGCCTGTAAGGACACCAACCGCGTCCTGCTTTTTCTAAGTGAAGGATAGACTGAAGTATTGAGAGTGGCCACCCTCTATTCAGAAAGTGAACTGAATCAATGTTTTTTCTCGGTTAGCCCATCAAACCAACTTCAGTGACCCAGACAAGGTGCTTGGTGATTATTGATCTAATTTTCTCTGTCTGTCTTTGTCTTCTGTCTGTTCACGCAACAGTATCCTGTTTGCGGACATCGAGGGCTTCACCAGTTTGGCGTCTCAGTGCACGGCTCAGGAGCTTGTGATGACCCTTAATGAGCTTTTTGCTCGCTTTGATAAATTGGCTTGGGTAAGTGGACAACATGAATTAATTTTTAGTGTTACTATTTAAAAAAAAAAAACTATTTTTATGTTAATGAGTTAAACTGATAGTAGTAGTATCAGTAGATAGGTAGCTATATTCATATAGAATTTTGTGTATGTATGTGTATATATATATATATATATATATATATATACTGTATATATATGCGTGTGTATATATATATATATATATATATACATACAGAAATGATTTTAGCAAATGGCTGCAATATAACAAAGAGTGAAAAATTGAAGGGGGTCTGAATACTTTCCGTACCCACTGTATATATATAGATATAGATATATATAAAACAATTTTTTCACTTCAAGTATAAACAAGTTAAAACCCAGTTAAATTATTATAATTAATATTGTTTTAAAAATGTTTGTGTTACTTGGAAAAAATTCAAGTAAAAAAACTCATTGCAAAGTAATTTTTACAGTGTAACAACTAAGAATGTGCCATGTTCTGTGGTCAGTATTAACAAGCTAATAATTATTTTTTGATGGCAAGTAACTTTTAAAATGGCCAATAATAAAATGTATACTATTTCTGCCATTTTGCCTAAATTGGAATAGAATTAATGCATATACAAAAACTATATGAGGTGAATCCAGTAGTAAGAAGTAATTACTGTTTTGAAAATAGATATGACCAGCTTGTTTATACAAGATGTCAAATTGGACATTCAAGACTCACTCATTCATATTAATTGAAAGGCGACGAGAAACCAGTTTGTGACTTGTAAGAATTGTTTTAGTGTAAAACATATCTTAATAGAATATCCACATTTAAATGATATAGGACAAAGTTTTGACTCAGGAAATATATTAAACGATTTTTAAAAAAGGTCTTTCTCAGAATTTGTTTTTTTAGAATTTTTTATCATTTATTAATTTGAAAGACTATATAATTTTTATCAGTACTGTTGTTGTTACTTGTATGTTTTTGCATAGTGATTGTTTCTTAAGAAAATGTTACGTTATTGTAAATGTTAATGTTGCCATGAATATAGCCATTGTTGCTGATATGACGTTAAAACAAGCAAACAAACAAACATACATAAATACATACATACATACATGAATGAATGTGCCTTTTTGCCTAAATAAAATTTCTAATGTTTATACACTTTTGTTTCAAAAACTTAAAATAAAGCAAGTTAAAAATCAGTTGTTTTGAATGTTAGAAGTGAATTTAGGCATCATAACATGTAAAGTATGGATCATTATTTTGACATTTGCAGTTTACATTTATTACAGTTATTACTTATTTATTAGTGTTTTTAAAGATCAACTTTATGTAAGTGTGAGATGACAGCAACTGTAATCTTTATGTAAAAAAATAGGCAATGAACATGCACAATTAAATATGTGGTTACACTTTATTTTAAGGTGTCCTTGTTACAGTGTAATTATACATTTAAGTACTGAGTAATATGTACTGAGTAATATTAATTAACTACATGTACCTACTATATGGTTAGGGTTTGGCTTAGGCTTACTTGTATGTAATTATGCATAATTTATTGTTATTATAATAGGAAGTACATGTAACATGTGTAACATGGATATCTTAAAATAAAGTGTTACCAAATACATAATATATACTTAATAAATTAAAAAACAATTCTCAAGAAACAGCCGATATGTTAATAAAAACCTCCAAACACTTTTAACAAGCATATAGCCAGCCCTGGCAGCCACCCACAAGGATGCTAACATCATAACATCCTATTAGGGAGGATTTCCACAATAACAGTTGCATAAATGTGCTGTTATGTCTGAATTCTTAGGAAAACCACTGTCTGCGAATCAAGATCCTGGGGGACTGTTATTACTGTGTGTCTGGACTTCCGGAGGCAAGGGCAGATCATGCGCACTGCTGTGTGGAGATGGGAGTGGACATGATTGAAGCCATCTCGTACGTTGTTCTTCACATCATTTTCTATATCGATCTCTCTTCCTCATCAACACATTTTTCAGTTAAAACGAATGCGTGTTGCTACATGTGCAGATTGGTGCGAGAGGTCACAGGAGTGAACGTGAACATGCGCGTGGGAATACATAGCGGCCGTGTGCACTGCGGGGTGCTCGGCCTACGCAAATGGCAGTTTGATGTCTGGTCCAACGATGTCACACTGGCCAACCAGATGGAGGCGGGAGGTCAAGCAGGGTAAAAGTGAACACCATCCATCAAAAATGTGATCCGTAATAAGTTTTCTATTCAAAGTTGGCTGTAGAAGATGTAGAGATTTGTGTTAAAGGAGTAGTTCACCCAAACATGAAAATTGGCTGAAAATGTGTTCACCCTCAGGCCTTCCAAGATGTAGATGCATTTGTATTTTGAGATTTGGAGAATTGTAGCATTTCATCACTTGCTCAACAATGGATCCTCTGTAGTGAATGGGTGCCGTCAGAATGAGAGACCAAACAGTTGATAAAAGCATTATAATAATCCACAAGTAATCCACGCGACTTCATTCCATCAGTTAATATCTTGTGAAGTGAAAACCTGAGTGTTTATAATAAACAAATCCATCAAGACGTTTTTAACTTTAAACCTTCACTTTCGGCTAAAATAAGAGTCCTCTATCCGTAATATTGCTTTCTCCAGTGAATATCGTATGAATCAGAAGGGAAATATTCACAAATATTCACCGTTTACAAGCAAAAACAGTTTAAAATATTTCTAAACGCCTATGTTGGTGGATTTTGAAGGACTTTTTCACTGGAGGAAGAGTTATTGTGGATTAGGTGCTCGTATTTTGGCCAGAAGAGATCATTTAAGGTTAAAATGTCTTGTTTCTTACAAACACACACCTTTTCACTTCACAAGACGGACTGGAGTAGTGTGGATTATTTGTGAATTCTTATGTTTTTATTAGCTGTTTGGACTCTCATTCTGACGGCACCCATTCACTGCAGACGATCCATTGGTGAGCAAGTGATGTAATGCTAAATTTTAACAAATGTTTCTATGAAAAAGAAACTCGTCTATGTCTTGGATGGCTTTAGGGTGAGTAAATTTGCAGCAAGTTTTCATTTTTTTGGTGAAATATTCCTTTTAGTAGTAAAACTCCTACTGTTGTGAATGTTTACAGGCGGATCCACATCACCAAAGCCACACTGCAGTATTTAAATGGTGACTATGAAGTGGAACCAGGTTTTGGAGGGGAGAGAAATACATACTTGAAAGACAACAACATAGAGACGTTTTTTGTCCTGGGCTGCAGTCAAAAAAGGGTCAGTCAAATGTAATCATATGGACATTGTTTATACAAAAACTCTGTTGCATAATATTTGGAGGTGAGGGCTGTGTTTTGTTGTGCCTTGATACAAATGACTGAATTTCCCTTTGGGGATCACTAAAGTATCTATTTATTTGAGTTTGCTGGAGTACGGTTTAATTTCCTGTGTGTGTCCTTGTGCCAAATTTCTCTTGCAGAAAGAGGAAAAAGCAATGATGGCTAAGATGCAGCGTGCTAGAGCCAACTCTTCAGAGGGTCTGATGTTGCGGTGGGTTCCTGACAGATCTTTCTCCAGGACTAAAGATTCCAAAGTCTTCAGACAGATGGTGAGGTCCGCTCCATCCGCACTCACACCGTCTGATCTCCCCTGCACTTCTTTAGGAGTGTAGCAACAAGTCATAATTGAAGCAATTTTCTCCGGAGCTTGGCAGTGCCTATGTGTGAATTGCTTTTTCCCCTTTCCAGGCGATGACTTTTCTGATTTCCATTAGTGTCACACAAAAAAAAAAGAGGGTCAGTAATAGTGTGACAAATAAATATTGCGTCAGACAGTGTTAATAGGAAAAGAACAAGTGCACAATATGGACAAATATTATTATTTCAAATAGAAGTTTATTTGTAGAGAATTAATTGGTTTTCCAGTAGTTTTATACTGCGTGTTAGAAATGCTGTGCTTGTTGATATGATTTAAAAAAAAATCATTATTTCATGTAAAAACATCTTTAAAATAATATTAAACAAAATTGTATGAATTAATAAGATTTGGTTAAAAATAGGGTGAGGAACCTTGAATTAAAAATTATTTGTGTTAAAAAATGGTTATGGTTTTCATATTATGGTTTATGTTAAAAAACATTTTAGGGTAAGAAAACTTAATTAGATTAAAACACCTTTCAATATATATTCTTTAAAATAATATGTAAAATAATGTTACATTGTAAATTAAAAAACATTTTATGTGTATGTTTATATATAATATATTGAAAGTATACTATTAACTAAAATACAATGTATTATCTTAGTTTTGCCTTGCAAGTAAATTTATATCGTTTTTAATCAACATTTTTGTGTAAAAAATACATAAACATCTTTAAAATGATTAATGCAACATTTTGTTTTGAATTAATGAGGTTAATACGAAAAAATGTGTCACTGGGGTAAGGAAACGTAACGTAATTAAAACTTATTTCAATATATTCTTTTAAATACTATGTGTGCAAATATACTGTTAATTAAACAACTATAAACTTAACAGTATGTTATATTATTAGACAGATTTGTTTTCAAGTAAATTTATCTTGTTTTTAGAATGTTTAGTTATTTTTCTGGAAAACAAGAACATGATTATTTGCAGTGTAAGATCCATTCCTTGTCTCTGTCAAGTTCTCACTCTCTCGCTCTGAATGTAATTTGAAGACTCTGAGTGTTAATTAAAGCAGCAGTGGCTCTGTGGGGTTGGCTTCGGAGCTGTCTGAGATGAAACCCAGAATGTGTTTTTCTACTTCCACTGTGTTTTACTGCCCACTGTAACTAATCTACCTGTCTGTTTTCAGGGCATAGATGAAGCCTCCAGCAAAGATAAGTGAGTTCTGCTTTTATTAGGACACAAATCCATTCTCTCTGGCTCTGAAGGGGCTTACGGGTTACATTTCACAGGCTGTTTTCACAATCTGTGAGTCGCTTTAGAATAGAGCCAACATAAAATGTGGTTTCAAGCAAGTTTGGCCACCAATAATGCTTATTTTTTTCGTAATGGATCAAAAATAGTAGCTTGTTATGAGGATAGAAACAGAGATATTCTTAATATAAAGGATACATTTTATGCAGTACATTAATATTTTACAGTAACGTAACCTTTTTGCTCTCACCAGCCGCTGTGCCCAAGAGGCCCTGAACCCAGAGGACGAGGTCGATGAGTTTTTAGGACGTGCCATTGATGCTCGCAGCATTGACCAGCTGCGGAAAGACCATGTCAAGAAGTTCCTGCTCACATTCCAAACACCTTTTCTGGAGAAAAAGGTCCGTAGACAGCTTGTAAAATGTGCTTAACACTGTACAGCACTGACACAACATTTATAAACTCAGAGTACTGAAAAAAATGTCTGAACTGCTAACAGTAACAAATTGTTGTGCTTTTAGTATTCAAAAAAGGTGGATGATCGTTTTGGTGGTTATGTGGCCTGTACACTCGTCGTCTTCTGCTTTATTGTTTTTATACAAATCATCATATTTCCACAGTGAGTGATAAAGTATTCTTTATAATAATGAATTTGATTTAATGTTAAGATATATATTTGTTATTATATATTGAATTGGTGTCATGTATTTTGTCTTGCAGTACACGGTTAATGCTGGGCATGTTCATCAGCATCTTTATTTTTCTCGCCCATGTCCTCTTTATATGTGCCATTTACTCCTGTGTTAAGGTCAGTTACTACCTCATTTATGCATCTGAAATCTAGACTACATTTTCAAATAAAGCTAATGTGCAATCAATGATTTTCTGATTTATGCACCATTTTTGTCTCTTTCAGCTTTTCCCAGTTACCTTGCAGACAGTGTCAAAGAGGATTGTTCAGTCCCGTGTCAGCAGCACGCTCGTCGGAGTCTTGACAATTTTGCTTCTTTTCATCTCTGCCTTTGTTAATATGGTAGGAATTTGATCCGAGTCTGTTGCTGGCTGGAAAAAAAAAATCCTGTGTCAGTTTTTTTTTTCCCCCTGTATGTCAGTGTAATTCTACACTAGCATGAGCACTAATTTCCCAAGTTGAGCTGGGCTTTCAAACTCAATTCAGTGTAACTTTGATTAATTTTGGTTTATTTATTTATTTAAACAGGTGGAGATTACATAATTCTTCCAGATTTAAAATGAGCAGTGAATTAAAATCTATTTAATATAATCCTCATTTTCATTTAAATCTGGAAATGCTGCTGCTGCCATCCCCTCCTATTGAAATAATAGTAATATTAATAATGATTTTATATATATATATATATATATATATATATAGTGGGTACGGAAAGTATTCAGACCCCCTTAAATTTTTCACTCTTTGTTATATTGCAGCCATTTGCTAAAATC